CTTGAAGAAGTGGGACGAAAGAGGATGAATCAGAAATATCCCTGCCAAATCAGAACAATTGGATGGTATTAATTTTCTGACTAGAATACAATATATTGTTGTTGTTGTGTGCTTTCAAGTTATTTCTGACTTATGGCAACTCTAAGGTGGGGTTTTCTTGGCAAGATTTATTTAGGGGGGTTTGCCTTTGCCTTCCTCTGAGGCTGAGAGAGTGTAACTTACCAAAGGTCAGCCAGTGGATTTCCACGGCTGAGTGGGGATTCGGACCCTGGTCTCCAGAGTCATAGTCTAATGTTGAAACCACTATACCACACAATCCTCACTTTAGTATCCGGTTGTATATCTTTGCACTTTAGGACTTTGCACTTTGCATTTTGTCTTGTTCTTTCGTGACTGCCTTTCCCACTCCTAATCTTCTTCTTGTTACTTGACTGCAATCTCCATTCTGCAACATGTTTGATCCAAGGTATGGGAAATATTCAACTATTTCAACTCCCTTGTTGCCTAGGTTGAAATTACCATATATACTTGACTATAAGTCGACCTCATGTATAGGTCGAGCAAAGGTTTTGGGGTCAAAATTATGGATTTTGTTATGACCTGTGGATAAATTGAGGGTTAAACTTAGGGGCATTATGACAAAGGATCTAAAGGATGAAGCAAGGGAAAACAATGCCAAAATACTTACAAAATCTCAATAGACATAACTGTTTGTGCTCACAATAAAGGCTGGATGGATAGAGAATGGTTCCTTTTTAAATAAGCATTAAAGCACTTACATTGACCTATGGATAAGTTGACTCAGGTTTTTTGGGTCCATTTTTTTTACTAAAATTTCTAGATGTATACATGAGTATATACAGTATGTAATAGAATTATTAATAGTTTTTTAGTCTATTTAAATGCCTTGTATTGTTTTAATTGGTTTTAATCTGATTTAACTTGTTTGCCGCCCTGAGATCTCATGATATCAGGTAGGCTGTAAATACGTATCATCTAGCACCACTAGATGATCATGCCCTCTTTGTCATGGCATCCTTACCAAGTGGTTCCTCAGAGTTTGTCATTGGAAAAGCTGACATGTCTTTCCTAAAATTTAGTGTCTAGCAGCAAGGATGTGCTGGTAATTTAGGCTCTGCCCCTTTTTCCTTTGGCCCCATCCACTTCTGGAAAGAGCCAATGTGTGTAGTGATTTGAGCATTGCACTATAACTCTCAAGACTAGGGTTGGATTCCCCACTTGGCCATGGAAACCCATTGGTTGACTTTGGGCGAATAACACAGATAACCCTGTGCTGGGTCCACTTTATGGTCTCCATAAGTTGGAAACAACCTGAAGGCGCACAACAAGAACAACAGCGTCTGGAATACAGCCCTGGAGAACATTACTGAAATCGAGTTAAGCCCACTGGCTGAAAGATATTTATGTTTTATGTAAAATATGCTTTGTGCAAATGAATGAAAACACACTGCAACGAAGGGGGAAATGGTTATGTTTGTCAAGTCATCATCTCATCGAGTCTCATCAAGTCGACTTTGATTTATGGCCACCCGATGAATGAGAGACCTCCATGCCATCCAGTTATCAACAATCTGGATCAGGTCTTGCAGATTCAGGGCTATGATTTCCTTGATCGAATCTATCCACCTGTAATGCTCTCTTTCTCTTTTTCAACTGTCTTCCTCATTATCAAGCATTGCCTTTCCTAGTAAGTCCTGTTTTCTCATTATATGTCCAAACTATGACGGTCTCAGTTTAGTCATCTTGGCTTCCAGGGGGGAGTTCAGATTTGATTTGCTCTAGAGATGTGTCTACACTGTAGAAACAATGCCCTTTGATACCATTCTAAGTGCTGTTACTCCATCCTATGGAATCTTGGGATCTCTAGACTTCTTTAAAATCCCAAAATTCTGTAGGATGGAGCTATGGCAGTTAAAGTGGTGTCAAACTGCATTATTTCTACAGTCCCCTGGTCTAGATGCACCCTATAGGACTCATTTATTTGTCTTTTGCAGCAGTCCACAGCATCCGCAGAACTCTCCTCCAGCACCGCATCTCAAATGAGTTCATTCTCCTCCTATCAGCTTTTTTCACTTTACAACTTTCACAACCATACCTAGAGATGGGAAATATGATGACATGGACAATCCTGACTTTGGTAGTCAATGATACATCATTGTCACTTGAGACCCTTATTGAGTTCCTTCTCTGCTGCCCATTCTAGTCATAGGTCCAAAACACATTGCAAAAATAATCCAGTTTGAGGCTGCTTTAACTGCCCTGGCTCAGTGCTAGGGAATTCTGGGAACTGTAATTTTATAAGAGATTTAGCCTTCTCTGCCAGAGAGCTCTGGTGCCACAATAATCTACAATTCCCAGGATTCCCTAGCACTGAACCCGGGCAAGTAAAGTGGTCTCAAACTGGATTATTTCTGCAGTGCGTTTTGAACCATAGTCTTCTTCTGATCAGGAAAAATATTAGACATTCCCTCCATGTAGTGTAAATATCCACATGTGGAGATATGTTGCACTAGTACTATGCAACCCCACTGCAGAACAGCAACATGGTAAAGCACATATCAATGACTGGGAGCCGTTGGGCAATGCTCAATGAGCAACATTGCTTTGTGCGCAATCCTGCTTCTGTCACTGCCAGCAGAATGCATTTGTTGTGCTATGATGAATAACTCGCCCTACATGCATAGTGCATGCATATCTCACTAACTGAATGCCACCCATTGCGTCTTATGAGACAACATGGCACAGTGGCTTGAGTGTTGGACTACGACTCTGGAGACCCAGGTTGAACATGAGTCAACAGTGTGATGCAGCAGTTTAAAAAGCCAATGTGATTATAGGCTGCATCAATAGGAGTACAGTGTCTAGTTCAAGGGAAGATGCTTTGATTTTGAGTTCCTGCATGGCAGGGGGTTGGACTGGATGGCCCTTGTGGTCTCTTCCAACTCTATGATTCTATGATCCTATGAAGTAATAATGTCCCTCTATCCTGCTTTGGTCAGACCTAACTGGGAATATTGTGTCCAGTTCTGGGTACCACAATTCAAAAGGGATGTTGACAAGCATGATAGCCATGTTTAAATATTTGAAGGGATGTTATATTGAGAACGGAGCAAGCTTGTTTTCTGCTGCTCCAGAGAATAGGACACGGAGCAATGGATTTAAACTACAGGAAAAGAGATTCCTCCTAAATATTTGGAAGAACTTCCTGATGGTAAGAACAGTTTGACAGTGTAAGATGCTGCCTCAGAAGGTGATGGAGTCTCTTTCTTTGGAGGTTTTTAAACAGAGGCTGAATAGTTATCTGTCATGGGGGGGGGG